GCGCGACGGCTCGGGCGACGGCTCGGGCGACGGCTCGGGCGATGGTACCGGTGACGGCTCGGCCACCGGCTCGGCCACCGGCTCGGGCGACGGCACAGGCGATGGCACCGGTGACGGTGGGGACTCAACCTCGACCCCGACCTCGGCCGGCAGCGACTCATCGACGGTGAGCGCCTCAGGCGCAAAGTCAAAGTCCTCCTCCATGAGCGTACCGGTGGCGGCGGCAAATGCGTCCTGCAAGGTGTAGTGCTCGTCGAGCACGCCCTTCCAAAAGTCGACGCGGTCGATGGCAGCACAGACAGCGTCGGCGTTCTCGATGAGCGCAGTCACGACCTTGTTGACCGAGTTGGAGGCCGAGACCTCCTCCAGCGGCGAGAGGTCCGGGTAGCGGATGAGGTTTGGGCCAACAACAATGGCCAGGTTCGCCGCGCTCATCTTGGACGTCGACGCAAAGGTGGCGGCGTACTGCAGAAAGCCGAGGAGAAAGGCGAGAACGTCGCGGTTGATTTCAGGCAGCTGCTTGACAATGCCCATGATGGCGTCCATGTCGATGGACTCGGCCTCGCCCGCCGCAACCAGCTCGTGGTACTTGGCGTGGGTCATAAGCGCCTCAGGCAGCTCGCGGAGAAAGTACTTGACCACCGCTGCCGAGGTGTACGGGTCGATGCTCAGCTCCTCCATGTCAAACGGCACCGGCTTGTTGAACAGGTCGCGGAGGACCTGGACGTCCGACGCCGCACCCGAGAGCCGGAAAATGCCCTCCAGCCCGCACCCGTCCGAGTCGCAGATGTACTGGATCGACGAGACAAGGAGGTAGGGGATGCGCGACTCGAGTGTGAGCGGGTGCTCGAGAAGCGCCTCGAGTGGAACGCCAAAGACCGGATAGCCGACCGCTTCGGGCGCGGCCTCCTTCTTCTTTTTCTTCTTCTCCTTCTTCTTCTTCTCCTTCACCTTCTTGACCTTGGACTCGGACTTGGCCACGGCCTCGGCAAACGCGGCCTGGTCGTCGTCGGGCATCTCACCGCGCGCCGCTCCACCGGCCACAAGACCGTCGACCCACGCGCTAGCATGCTCTCCAGACTCGGCCTCGAGAATATACGACCGCTCGCCCGGCCGCGCAATGAACAGCGCCGTCCGAGCCGGCGACAGTTCGTCCGGCACCAGCCCCACAATCCGCGACATGACGTCGATGGCCTCGGCGGGCTTGACATCGCGGTCCTTGCGAAAATACATGAGCGTCGAGCCGACAAGCAGAAAGTACCGCTTGTTCCATCCGGCGCCCTTGGCTTGCTTTTTCTGCAGCCAGCCGTGGACCCGCGCGTCAGCTGCCTGCTCGGCCGCCGGCCGCTTGTCGGCCTTGGCCGCAGCCGCAGCCTCGGCTGCCGCCGCCGCCTCGCGCACCGCCTTGCGCTTGAGCGCCTCGGCGGTCAGCTGCTCCCGCAGCGACGCCGGCATCTCGACCTCCCCCAGCGACGCAAACGTGGCCAGCGCGGAGAGCCACGCCTCCGACTCGGCCATCAGTGCCTCGGCATCGACCTTTTTCGACGCCGGAACCACCTTGAACAGCGTCCACTCGTGGTTCACGCTCGACCGCAGCAGCGACGTCGACGCCGACCGTGACGCCTTGCCGCGCGCTGCCTTGGCCGCAATCGTCCGCTCGCTCTCGCCGCTTCCACTCCCACCGCCCCCGCTGCCCCCACTCGCAGCAGCAGCAGCAGCCGAGGCAATGCCCAGCAGGCCAGCAGACGACTCGTCGCCATCATGATGGCTGCCACCGACAGCGACGGAGATGGCGCGGCCACGAGCCTCGGCCGAGACCCCACCCGCAAACGATGGGCGAACAATGTAGAAGAGGATAGGCTGATCCGGCGGAGCCAGATCGATGGGCACCCGACCATAGCCATACGCACCAAGATAGAGAGAGACCATGGGCTTGGACTCCTTGGCCTTGCGGAACAATTGAAGAAGGAACGAATGAGCCACAGCATACTGCGCCTTTCCCCAAACCGCCGTCTCGCCACCACGAACCGCCACCAGTCCCGCTGCCGGCGCTGCTGCTCCGCGCTCTGCGCCCGACCGCTTATCATTGCGCCCATTGAGCAATGCTGTAC